ATCTTAATCTTACCTGAGGATTCCTATTTAAGAGAGGTGTTGTGACCACCTATAGAGGCTGGGCAAAGATTACTTGAGCCCAAGAGTTGGAGGTTGCTGTGAGCTGTGACACAACGGTACTCTACCAAGGGCAATAAAGTGAGACTCTGTCTCAAAAAAAAAAAAAAAAAAAAGTCATTTTACTATATGGACATTTGCACTAGAAAAATGTTCATAGCTGGCTGGGTGCCCATAGCACAGTGGTTATAGCTCCAGCCACATACACCAAGGGTGGCAGGTTCAAACCTGGCCCAGGCCAGCTAAACAACTGCAACAAAAAACTAGCCAGGTGTTGTGGTGGGTGCCTGTGGTCCCAGCTACTTGGGAGGCTAAGGAAGAGAATCATTTAAGCCGAAGAGTTTGAGGTTGTTGTGAGCTATGATGCCACAGCACTCTACCAACGGTGACATAGTGAGACTCTGTTTTCTAAAAAAAAAAAAATGTTCACAGCCACTTGGTTCACAATTGCAAAGATGTGGAAACAACCCAAGGGCCCATCAACATGTAAATGGATTAATATGGCACCTTAATAAATGGCATATGTATACCACAGAATAGTATTCATCCCTAAAAAAGATGGAAATTTTCCATCCTTCGTAACAACATGGTTGGATTTAGAGATAATTATCCTAAGTAAAGTATCTCAAGATTGGAAAAACAAGCATCACATGTACTAAATACCAATTTGAAACTGGGAGATAAATATTAACATTTCCATGTCTCCGATTCCCCATCTGGCAGAATAGAGATAATAGTCAACGCCTCATTGGACTGGTGCGAGGATTAAATGAGTTAATTGTCTGTAATGTGCTAAGCCTTAGAAAAATACCTAGCATACTGTAAACACTATATAACTGTTAAGCAAATAAATATGAGTTTAAAATTAAAAAAACCAAAAACAAAAAAAGACATATAATGGTTTACTTGAGGTCCAAATAGTCAAAGTAAATTTTGTGAGATAGTTGATACCATCTGGTGACAAGCAAGAAATGTTTGAAAAGAAGACAGCAAGAATTCAAAGTGATGGACAAGGAAGTCATGGAGATGAAGAAGCTGGGAAATTCAGGAATGGAGGCATCCCAGAAGGAAACCAAGCACCTATGTTTCAGTTAAGGATGTAGACTAACAATGGTAGTTCTGAAATCTACTATAATAGCATAGAGCAGTGGTTCTCAACCTTCCTAATGCTGATGCCCTTTAATACAGTTCCTGTGGGTCCTTGAGCCACAGGTTGAGAACTGCTGGCATAAAGCTTTTAAAAAGGCACAATCCTGGGGGGAGGGTGCCTGTGGCTCAGTGAGTAGGGCACTGGTCCCATATACGGAGGGTAGCGGGTTCAAACCCGGCCCCAGCCAAAGTTCAACAAAAAATAGCCAGGCATTGTGGCGGGGGCCTATGGTCCCAGCTACTAGGGAGGCTGAGGCAAGAGAATCGCCTAAGCCCAAGAGCTGGAGGTTGCAGTGAGCTGTGATGCCATGGCACTCTACTGAGGGCGACAAAGTAAGACTCTGTCTCTAAAAAATAAATAAATAAATGAATAAAATAAAAAGGCACAATCCCACAAGGACAAAGAAAACAGGAAGAAGATGACAACATTTCAGAAGCTGGAAAGCTGATGGATGGCTGGTGTCTCATTGAATACGAGAGAAAAACAAATGCCAAGACATTGTGAAAATACTGGGCAGTGATTGTGCTAGGTGTATGTGGTTGGTGTTGTAATCATTGTGCTACGGACACAAAGCCAGGAAAAAACTAATTTGGAGGAAATTGAGATTATAAAGAGGAACAGAACATCAGGAAAACTACCAGCAAGGTATCAGAGAGAAAAGGATGGTACTGTACCTATGAAATCAGGGCAGGATGCTACAAGGAATATTCAGAGACAAAACAAGCTCTTTTTTTTTTTTTTTTTTGATAGAGTCTCACTATGTTGCCCTCAGTAGAGTGCTGTGCAGTCACAGCTCATAGCAACCTTAAACTCTTGGGCTTATGCAATTCTCTTGCCTCAGCCTCCCATGTAGCTGGGACTAGCCGCCCGCCACAACACCTGGGTATTTGTTGTTGTTATTGTAGTTGTCATTGTTGTTTTAGCTGGCCTGGCCTGGGTTCAAACCTGCCAGCCCCAGTGTATGTCACCAGCGCCCTAACCACTGAGCAATGGGTGCTGAGCCAAAACAAGCTCTTGGGGGTTAAATATGATAGGGGAAATAAAAACTCTGGCCTGTGGCTGACTGAGTAGGGCACCAGGCCCATATAACGAGGGTGGCTGGTTTGAACCTGGCCCTGGCCAAACGGCAACAAAAAATAGCCGAATATTGTGGCAGGTGCCTGTCGTCCCAGCTACTCCGGAGGCTAAGGCAGGAGAATTGCCTAAGCCCAAGAGCTGGAGGTTGCTGTGAGTTGTGATGCCACAGCACAAGGGTGACAAAATAAGACTGTCTCTAAAGAAATATAAAACATAGGCACGGTGCTTATAGCTAAACCGGCTAAGGCGCCAGCCACGTACACCTAAGGT